TAAGTTTTGTGTTGTCTTATTCTGCATTGCAGCTTTCGCAACGTACTTTGTCAGGCTCATTATTGAAATATCTTTCCAAGTTACAGGTATGCATCATGTGGTATAATGTTCTATTTTATTTCTGGTCGGTCTATATATATATGTGACTTAAAAGGAATAACAGAAACAACCAAGTGTTTCTGATCCTATAACCTTAGGTCTGCATTACCAGTTTATGAAAATCACCAAGGCTTCTCCATATATATTACTACTTTAAGAAAGTTAAGTTCTCATTTAATTTGTTTGAGGTTCTCTCACATGCTAAAATAATCTTCTTTATACATTTGGCAATGTTGTGCAGGTCGATGAAGAGCCTGCAATTAGGACAAATACCACCATATTGCTAGGAAACATTGCAAGTTACCTAAACGAAGGGGTTAGTTGATTCTTGGCCAATCCTTGTTTAGATTTTGAGTGACCTAAAATTGACATCTGAGATAATAGTGTTTAGTGGTGATCCTCTTTCTTTTAGTGTCTAGTTATATGTTCCCTGTTAAAGTTCAATTAATTGTCTCCTGTTGAAAAATTGTCATCTCTTGGCCTAACATTGTAGACACGGAAGAGAGTTTTGATAAATGCATTTACGGTCCGTGCATTACGTGATACTTTCTCTCCTGCCCGAGGAGCAGGTATACTTGTTTATGGCTAGTTTCTGATACTCTTGGTTTTTAAAATGCTTTCTTTGTTTTTCAAAGCATGTGTTCTTGGGGTTTTGGTGTCATCTAACTAACATGTAATTATATTGTGGCAGGAGTTATGGCTTTATGTGCCACCAGTTCTTATTATGACATGACTGAGATTGCTACTCGGATTCTTCCAAATATTGTTGTACTCGTTATTGATCCTGACAGGTAATGTTATTCTTGAATGGTTTGTTTATTGTCGACATTTTATTATCATCCATCAGTGTACATGAAGAATGTGCTCTCGTCTCTTTAACAGTGATGTAAGGTCAAAGGCTAACTTTAGGTGGATGAGGATAACTTTAGGTGGAACAAATGTGTTTGGCAAGGTCTGGTTCCTCCTAGAGTAGAGGTTTTCCTTTGGCAACTATCACTTAATAAAGTAGCGGTTAGAGGGGAATTGAAGAAAAGGGGGGTTCACTTAGGGGAGGACTCTCTATGCCCCTTTTGCAATCAAGCAGAGGAATCAGTTCAGCATCTGTTTATTTACTGCCAGTTTTCCTGGGTACTATGGAACAGAATCATAGCCTACTGGGGTATCAAGTTAGCCTTACCTACTGATCCTTCATCAATTCTAATTTCATGGTCTGTTCTTAGGCCATTTTCTAATATGTGGAAGTTTATTCCGGGGGCTGTTTTATGGTCGATTTGGAAGATGAGAAACGAAATTGTTTTTGAAAGAGGCAAGCTGGACACATCCTCATTGTTTTTCACAGTCAGGTTAAGGCTTGCGAAATGGTTCCTAGCTAAGTATCCTTTATCCTCTATTCAAGTGGACTCTATAATTGGTGATCCTTCATTGGCTGATAATATTTCAGCTTCTCTTGATTCGAACAGGCCTGTGGTTTACTGGAGTCCTCCTCCAGTCGATTTTTTTAAGTTTAACGTGGATGGAGCAGTTAGTAGGGTTGGGTTGTTAGCAGGAATTGGGGGCATTCTTAGAGATTGGAATCGGATTAAATTGATGTCGTTTTCAGAAAAAATAGGGCCTACTCCTATTATTTTAGCAGAGTTAAAAGCTATCAAAAGAGGAATAGACATCTTTGTGTCATCAGAATGGGTATTGAAGGGAAGGCTTATTATTGAATCTGATTGCAAGCTAGCTGTGGAGTGGTTGAAATATCAGGAGTCAGTTCCTCCTTTTCTTTTAAATTTTGTCAAGGATATTGCGGATGCGGTTTCTGAGTATGAGGTCATTGTGAGGTGGATTCCGAGAAGATGTAATTGCGAGGCAGATTTGCTTGCAAAGGAGGGGATTGGGTAGTGGGTCACTTTTTTAGTACTGAGTTCGGAGGTTTTAATCAAGGCGTTATAAGAGTGTGCTTAAGTTTTATGTATCTTAAAGGAGTGGTTCTAGTTTTATGTAATTTTTACATTATCAATATTAAGGTTCTCTATTCCTCCTTCCCCTAGTAGGTTCTGACCTCATGGTAAGGGCTACTTAGAAGGAGGTTTTTATGAGACCTACTTTTCCTATCAAAAAAAATGTAAGGTCAAAGGCATTTCAAGCAGTTGATCAATTTTTACAGATAGTGAAGCAGTGTAACGAGAAGGTGAGCTTTAAGATGCTTTCATCTCTCTCATTTCATTTCATTTCATTGAATTTAGGCAAATGCAAACTTTAATGTAACTTCAGTGCTATCAAGCACAGAAAAAATAATACTTCATTTATTTTATCTATAACATTTGCTTCTTCTCTTGATCAGCATTCTAATGCATTCAATATAAATTTTCCCTCCTTAATGAAACATTTTGTAACTCTTGGTTTGTAGATTCTAAGCAGTAAATCATGTTTTGAACAGGCTAAAACTTATTAAAAGCAATTTTATCTCTCGGCTCTGCAAGGATTGATATGGTTTCATCCTGTTGCTTTTAACCAGTGTATGGCTATGTTTGAACAGGCTAAAAATTATGTCTTTTTTTTATTCAAAATATGTCTTGCTGCTTTTATGCGTTTATCTCTTTCTTTGTTGTTCTTTATCTTAGGTTTTAGTGTGGATGTTTTGGTTCAGCCAATACTGAAGGCATATCAAACATTGTTGACTAGTATCAGTATCAAACTAAACTATTATCTTTATACAAGCGCAAGTTTTTTTGATATTTTTAATCTTTAACAGCTGTTCTAAGAAATCTTCAATATCATCTATGGTATGGTATTTTCTTATACTAATGCTTTTTATCTATTATTCTTCACAGAGTAATGCTGGAGATACAGCTGACGCTGGAAGTTTGGGGATTTCATCAATGCCAGGAAATGCCGGTTTACTGGGGTTAGTTGAAAATATTTGCTGTATTTGGCAATATTGCTTGTTATCATGCTACAAGATGCTTCAGATGGAATCAATGACCTTTTTTATATTACAATTTGTTTTCTTGTACGGCGCATTAAATTTACAGCTATTTTAGTTAAATGATTTATAAAGGAATGTCCCAAAAATTTTATAGCCACTTGATGGATGATGTATCTCTTTGGCAAGGCTGTAATTGTTGTTGTTGACCGCTAGGATTCTGACCTTGCAGATGGGCCATGAGTTCCTTGACTCTTAAAGGCAAAGCTTCTGATCAAGCTCCAGTTGCTACTGCCAATTCCGTCACGCCTGCAACTATAACAACATCTACATCCAGCCCAGGTATTTATTGCGATTATACAAGTAATAAAATTTGGAGCCTATATATTGGAAATAAGTTGATACAATGCTCTGCACTTTGGTCTTTTGCCTGATTATTTGTTTGTGTTCATTTAATAATTCCATTTCTAATGTTGTTTTTCTATGACAATCTTAGGACTAATAGAAACTCCAAGTACAGCGCCAGTCCACCGTGTAAGTTCTAGTACAGATTTTGCAGATCAACCCATGGCTCCATCTCCTACTTCAACTGACGGCTGGGGAGAAATTGAAAATGGCATTCATGAAGAACATGACAGTGACAAAGATGGATGGGATGATATTGAACCCCTTGATGAGCCAAAGCCATCTCCAGTTTGGAAATATTCATGCGGCTCAGAAGCGTCCTGTTTTACAACCAGTTTCTCAGCCTAAACCACAAGGTAGTATTCTCCAATTATTCTCCATTCAATTGTGTAATGTAGGAAATGAGTTTTCTAGTCTTAACGTTTATGGTCCTAGATGGTCAAATATTTTTGTTCAACACAGATATTTGCGAAAATTTGAAGATTTACATTTTTGGTGGTCTGTTCTTTTTTCTTTGCTTTAGCTTCTACGAGTGTGAGACCAAAAAGTACAGTGAAGGTGAATAAAGATGAAGATGATGACTTGTGGGGTTCGATAGCAGTTCCTCCTCCAAAATCTGCTTCTAAACCATTGAATTTAAAGACAGCTGGAACAGCTGATGATGATGATCCCTGGGCAGCTATTGCAGCTCCCCTCCAATAACCAAGGCAAAGCCTTTATCAGCAGGAAGAGGCAGAGGAACTAAAGCAGCTGCTCCCAGATTAGGTGCACAGAGGATAAATCGTACATCCTCAACTGGGATGTAAATCATAAGAGAAAAATATCAGGTTTTGTATACTTTTTCTGGTGACTGATTTCACATTAAAATGTTGCGTGCCAAGTAGTACTGTGACATATTATTTGATTTGTAACCATTCTTTTGCACAAAATGTTTACTGATGTACTGCCTCTTGAGAAGACTGGTGTGCAATTTTGATCATGTAAATGTATTTTGTGAAGGGAACAGAATGAACTAAGCTTTATTTAGAAGTATTCCTTTGAAAGAATAATAGAAAGTTGCCGTGGCTATAACCAGACTTTGATGTTTATGTGCATGGGACCCGATGTATTTGAACTCCCATTAAGAGTTTCATATCAATTGAAAGTATGTAAGAGAAAGATCATTTAGTGAAATAGAGTTGTTTTCCAAGTCCAAGTAAGCAACATTGCCAACTTGATTGATGACAACTGATTCAATAATCCTATCGAAGTGGTGGTGTCCATCAAGCAGCTGAATATGAGGATGCATAGAGTATACGTGGACTCCACGGCTGGCTATGCTTGATTAATTATTTGAGCTGTTCCATCCTCAGTTAGTAGCAGTATTTTTTTCTTCTATTTTTATAAGTTTTTATAAGAATTAGAGGCCTCATTAAAAACTCACTCCATAATTACTAGAAATAGAAATTGCGACAAAAAGCGGAAGGGAGAAAGAGTGCTTTCAGTTTATTAGAAAAGGGGAAAAACTCCAAGAGTACAAAAGAAAACAAAGTACACCATAGAACAAAAATCAACTATAACATAAAACCACCATCAAAATCCTATATTATCCAATTCCCTCTTTAGCCAACTTATCCAGCTCCTTATTTGCGCTTATAGGAATAAGACGAATATTACTCTTGTCTTTTCTAGTAATAACCACAATCTTCTTCACAAGAGTTTCAAAGACCATTGGACAACCGATAGGATTCTCAATCCACTCAACAGTCCTACTGCAATCACTTTCCAGAATCAACGAATCATTATTTCCCAAATTCAAAGAGGAAAATAAAGAGAGACCAGTTCTAATCGTTTTTAGATCTGCCAAAGCTGGAGGACCAAATCCAATGAACTCCGAGAAGGAAGAAAGAGTTTGCACCTGAGTTTTTTTTATTAAACCCCTAATGCCCCTTACTCCAGTCCCTACCAACAGCTCCGTCCACATTCAACTTCAAGGAGCCATCTAGTGGCGGAGACCACCCCGATGAGGACGAGGACAACTGAGGACATTTCTTAAATGAAACACAAAAATCGGCTATAGATGGATCCCCAATTAGGGTGTCTAACAGAAGTGGTCTCTAAATGCTTGGTCGAGAACCAAGAAGCGAGGTGAAACCTAGCCAAGAAGCATAGGTGGGACAGATCAACGATACCATCCTCAAAGACAATAGAGTTTCTTAATTTCCATAATGACTAAACAATAACCCCCAGGATGAAAGCCCAAATCCAAGATAGAGGGACAAAGGAATTCCAAGCAGACAAGAGATAGGACATATCATTTGGAAGAGCAATAGAAATATCCTAGAATCGAAGAAAATGGATCCAAAGTCCCCAAGCAATATTACACTCTAGAAACAGGTGCAATACAAATTCTAGAGTCTGCCTACAAAAAGGCAGGAAATATCAATTACACCTGGAACACCACACTTAAATAATTACGTCCTTACAGTTATCCTCTTATGAATCACCTGCCACAAAAAAGCCTCCACCCTTGGTGGAGCTAAACCAACCCACACACAAGAAGGGATCCTTACCATCCATATTTAATAGTATTTTCCTACAAGATTTAACCGAATAGCATCCTTTCCCATTATCAGTCCACGACAAGCCGTCATTAACACCTTGAATACAACAACTGCTAAGTAAGGACATGAAATTTAGGCAAAGTTCTAATTCCCAATCGGATAGGTTCCTTCTAAGTTGGATATCCCATGTCCACCCTAGCGGGTCAAATTTTCCAAACTCCGTAAATTTCCCTTCTTTATTCAAAGAAATAGTGAAGATTCTAGGGAACTAGTCTTTTAAAGGAGCATCCCTAATCCATTTATTAAAGCAAAATGAGATAGCCTTATCATTCCTGGCGCGAGCTTGTATGTGATTTCGGAAACTAATACCAAAATTATCCTCCTTGATGCAGTTATTCACCACACCTCTCAGAATCCAAGAAGATTGCGAAAATTGAGCTTTATCAAGAAACAAAGACTAGCAGTCAATATTATACATGTAACAAATCAACCTTTTCCATAGTGATTTTGGTTCCGTTCCAAATTTTCAAGTCTATTTCCTAACCAAAGCTTGGTTCAGTAAAGCAAGTTCTGGAATACCCAAGCTTCCATTGTCCTTTACAAGGCAAAACAAAGGCCAATTAATCCAATGTATACAGTTCCTCTCCATGTTACCACCCTAAAAAAACAAAGCCATAATAGTTTTTAGTTTCTTATACATGGAAGCGGGTAATTTGAAAATTGAAAGATAGTACATGGGCAAGGTTGCAAGAACATATTTCAAAAGCACTAATATGCCTGCCAGAGAAAGAGACGAAGCTTTCTAGTTAGCAAGCTTCTCATAAAATTTATGTATAATAAGTTCCCAAATTGTGAGAAAGGGGCCATCAATGGCAAGGTGAGCATGAATAAGAGATGAGCAGCAAATATCTAGTAAAGAAAGTATAACACTTGTATATTGATTGTGTAAAAGAAATATACATAATACAAGGTTGCTATTGTTTATATACAGCTTCTAATGACTAATGTAAGTCTTAATAGATTTCAAAACTAACCATGCTAACAACCTTAACTGCTATTAACAACATTAAGAAGCTTCTAACTATTCAACTAATAATCCCATGCAGTTTAAGCTCATACACGTTGCAGTACTAACAACATTGTTGCTGACTCATCATGCTAACATTCCCTCTACTTCTTCTTATGCTCTTCTGACCTTGAACATCCTTGAACTCCAATCTCCTATTGAAAAACTTCAAATGCTGCTTTAGCCAAGGGTTTAGTAAAACCATCAACCACTTATGTACTTCTTGATGAAAAGACGGACACTTGAAACAAAAGTGCGATACATCCTTCCGTTCGACTTGAATCGGAAGTGCCGATACTTTTCCGTTCGACTTGAATCGGAAGTGTCGATGCCTCCTTCCGTTCGACTTGAATCGGAAGTGCCGATGCCTCATTCCGTTTTTTCTTTTGTTCTTCTTATTCACCTTCATTTGTTTCTTCTTCATCTCTATACAAGGTTCCTTGATATTTGTTCCCTTGGACACTTGACTGTGAAGCTTTCAAGTCCCATGAAACTTTGAGATAGAAGCAACAAATCATGATGATGCACAATCCAAAATAACCAGTAATGCAACACCATATAGCACATCCATAAAAAACTAGTTTGAACAAAATTTGTTTCCAATGGGAACCCGTACAAATTTGTTTCCACTCACCCCGAGCAATGGTAACTCCTTCTTGTTCTTTCTCTTAAACTCCTGAACAAAGTATTCACCATTATGTTATCAAGATCTTCACCTCCAAGGTGAGTGTCCCCAGCAGTGGCTTTCACTTCAAAGATACCCTCTTCAATGGTTAGAAGAGAGACATAAAAAATACCACCACCAAGATCAAAGATTAATACATTCTTTTTACCGACACTGGTAGCCTTCTTGTCAAGACCATAAGCAATAGCCGCAGCTGTGGGTTCATTGATGATACGCATGACATTACGAGCAATAATGACACCAGTATCCTTTGTTGTCTGACGCTGAGAGTCAGTGAAGTATGCAGGGACGGTAACCACAACATTCTTAACTGTAGACCCAAGGTAAGCCTTAGCAATTTCACGTATCTTTATGAGTACCATTGAAGAGATCTCCTCAACAGTAAATTGTTTCTCTTCACCCTTGTAAGTAACAACAATCATTGGTTTGTCACCAGGTCCAGCAATGACCTTGAATGGACATAGTTTCATATCACTCTGAACAGAAGAACCAATGAATCTACGTCTAATCAATCTCTTTGCATCGAAGATGATATTGATGGGATTCATGGGGTAAAACCGACATAAGAAGGCATCGTCCTGTTACCTTGATCATTGGCGATGATCTCAACACGGTCGTTTCACCAAACCCTAACATAAGAATAAGTGGTTCCGAGATCGATTTCGATAGCTGGACCTTCTCCTTTACCGACCATTACTTCTTTTCCTTTTGTTGTGTTGACTAAAAGAATATGAAAAAGAACGAAAAAAGGTAGGAGGAAAAAGATGTGCTAACAGCTAGGGTTTCAAGAGATGATTTCCAGATCAAATATATGTGACGTTGATAGAGAAAGAGGAAATCGACAATTGAGAAGAAGAACGACGCAAATTTTAGCAAATTCCAGCAAATTTCAAACCCCAACCAAACAAACTAATCAAATTCTAGCAACAAACAAACGCATGAAACCAAAACTCAAGAACGAATCTCAATCCCTAACCAATAACAGGAAAAAAAAACAAGAATTCAAGTTTGAAGTTACCAAATTGAATCTGCAAAGCTTTGACTCAAACAACACACAACTGAGTCGGAAAGATGATCGATAGCAAGACCATCAAAAACTCTTAGATACGATCATTAACGGCGGCGAAAGCAGTTACTGTGGCTCTAGAACCATTCGGCAAATGATACCATGTGAGAAAGGGGCCATCAATGGCAAGGTGAGCATGAATAAGAGACGAGCAACAAGTATTTAGTAAAGAAAGTATAACACTTGTATATTGATTGTGTAAAAGAACTATACAAAATACAAGGTTGTTGTTGTTTATATACATCTTCTAATGATTAATGTAAGTCTTAACAGATTTCACAACTAACCATGTTAACAACCTAACAACCTTAACCGCTATTAACAACATTAAGAAGCTTTTAACTATTTAACTAATAATCCCATGCAGTCTAAACTCATACACGCTGCAGTACTAACATTATTATTGCTGACTCATCATGTTAACATCATGCTAACACAAATACATATCAAATTCCTTTGTGCCCCAGAGGTAGGCTAAAGTATTCCGAGGGGAATTGAACTACCGAAACTCCAGCTGCCAAGCCTAATTTTTCAGAGTTTCTTCATTAACATTTATCCCAAACAACCTTCTCTTAGAAAAATTCAGTTGTAGACCTAACATAAATTCAAAGACACAAAGCACTCTTACATTTCTAATTTGATTTTTGGAGGCACCACTAAAAATAATAAGATCATATGCAAATTAGAGATGAGAAAGCAAGAATGAATCGTTTGGCTTTCCAATTCGAAATCCATCAAACAAATTCGAGGATACTGCCTTTGCCAACATGAGGTTTAACATCTTACCCCATCAAGTTAAACAATAACGGAGAAGGGGAACAACCTTGAAAGAGCCCTCTTGTCATTTCAAACTCTTCCATAGACGGCCCATTAACAAGTATTGAGATAGAGGCAGAAGATGTATATTTAACAATCCACGTTATCCAACGAATCACCAAAGTCCATTCCCTTCAAGGTTCGGAAGAGAAGAGTCCATTCAATTGTCATATGCCCTATGGAAATCGAAGCCCTTTTTTTCTCCAATAATCAACTCATTCATTAGTTAAAAATGGATAGTCAAGAATTTGCCTCCCCGAGATAAAAGCAAATTGAACTGGGTTGATAATGGAATTAATACATGATCTAAGCCTCTGAGACAGAACTTTAGACAATATTTTATAAAGACCAACCACAAGGTTGATCGGCCTGAAATCCTCCAAGGCTATTGAATTTAATTTTTTCGGAATCATAGTAATGAATGTGTGATTATTCTCGTTTTCCCACTTTTTGCCCGAGAAAAATCCTTTAAAAACTTCAATATAAGATCCTTGAGATTTAGCCAAAATTTCTTGAAGAATCCCATATTTAGTTCATCCAATCCAGGAGCTTTGTTGCTGTTCAAGGAAAAATGTCGTCCCATATTTCATCCTCTGAGAAGGGTTTTTCTAATCCTGTAGCTTATTCATTCGATAGTTTCGGAAAATTCAGGTCCATCCCTTCTACTTCCAAGGAAGAAGAACTGTTGTATGCATACTTGAAATAATCATATATACTACTCCTTATTAAAATCGGGACTAAGGTAACCCTATCTCCAACTTTAAAAGATTTTATGGTGTTTTTCCTTCTCATAATCAAGGCACAAATATGGAAAAACCTCGAATTGAGATCGCTGTCTTTAATCCTTATGGATGGAATTCTGGAACCAAATACTCTCATCTTTTCGATATAGAGACCTCAACTTTTTTATAAGCTATCAAGACTTCCCGATCATCCATAGAGAGTCCCCCAACTGAAAAGTCGCCTTCATGGAATGAATTTTTTCTCTAGCTTCCTGATTGCTTCTGATATCCTCTTAGCATTATTTCTGGCTATTTCCTCATCTCAGATTTAGTTCCTTTAATAACACTCAAAAAACCCCTTCTATTATTCTTCAGTCGCAATTCCTTCATTGTTGATTCCATCATATTGAAAAAATTTGAATCCTGTAATAGGTAATTATAGAGCTGGAAAGGTTTCGACCCCAATTCACTTTCTCTATAGCCAATTCTATTGCATTATGACCCAATAGAGATTTCAGAAGAAGCACTTATGTGATATTCGAGTAAACACCAAAAAACTACTATCGATCAAAAAAATGATCCAACCTTACCGAAAAGGATTTTCTATATTGTTGCACCAAGCAAAGGACCCCCAATAAGAGGGAGATTAACTAGATTAAAATGATGGATGAAATTTCTGAGCAAATTCATGTTGTTCCAATTCTGAGAGGCTCCAATTTTTCTTCCGTGGACATACAAATTAAAATCCCCACCATTGCTCACAAGAATCCTCAACTGCTCAACAAAGGCCAATAATTCCTCTAAAAAAATTATCATTCTCCTCAACAACCGGTCCATAAATGTTAATGAACTCGCACCTAAAATGTTTATCCTTAATCATCTCCACAACTGCAATAAATCTAGGATAACTAATTTGATATGTAATTTCAAAAAAATCCTCATACCATAAGGATATCAACCCCCGTAGAACCAGAAACAGGCGAAGAACAGTGCCCATGCAAATTACCTTCTTTCAGTCTTCTCAATGAAGTCGGTTTAAAAATTGAAGTTTTAGTTTCCTGTAGAAAGACAAAAGCCGGTTTCCTCTCCATAACCAATCTCCTCACTACCCTAGATTTTTCATTCCTTTCAAGCCCCCTTATGTTCCAAGAAATGATTGAGAAATTAGACGTAAGAAAAGTTGTTAAAAAATACCTTGAGATTGCGAGATGGGTTATCTACAATCTACCCATCCTTCTCCTTTTCCAAGCTAACAACTCTATTTACCAAACTTTGTTTCCCTCCTTTAAAATAGATACCCAATACTCTGCTCACCTCTCAAGTATTAAGAGCTTCCAGTAGATGTTTCGAGACTATAGGACACTAGATCTTTTATATACTTTCTTGAAGAAGTTTGATCCCTGACCACTGCTAAAATGGGTTATTCCTGGTATAAAAGTCTGACCCTAGTTGGGGTTTTCGTTTGGAAAAAAACTCTGAGTCCAATCTTATGTGAGGAGGATTAACACCAAGCCCAGTAGAGCATGTATTCTTAACGAGCGATAGAGTAACAATGATCGAAGCAATTTTAATAGGGCCCATATTAACATTGTCTACCCAGGAGAAGACTCATGTTCTATATCTCTAAATCCCAAACCCACATGTTCCCCAATGATAGCACTCTCACTACCCTGGGAAACTGGATTTCTATCATTATTATTATTAGGGTAAAGTATAGTAATGGTCACTGAACTTTTCTAAAGCTTTCATTTAGGTCCCCAACTTTTAAAACTTGTAATATAATCCCTCAACATTTAGTCCGTTTGCAATATGGTCCCTCAACATTTAGTCAGTTTGCAATATGGTCTCTGACGTAACTGTTGGGGGAAAATATTACAAACGGACTAAATGTTAGAGACTGTATTGCAAGTTTTAAAAGTTAGGGGACCTAAATGAAATCTTAAGAAAACTTCAGTGACCATTACTATACTTTACCCTTTTATTTTACACGTGTAAACAAACGAATAAAGCAGCTGATACTTATATATATAGGGTAAACTAAAACTAAGGTCACTTAATTCTGGATTTAGTAATAAACATGTTACTTTTCTTCTAAAAGCTATAAATAAATCATTTAATTAAAATATTATTACACGAAAATAGTGATGTGACTTTATATAATAACGATCTTATTCTTTAAAATTTATCATTTATTAATTTGATCTTTATTTGAAACAATTTAATAATTTAATATTTAATATTTAAAAATTTAAAAAGCTTATCATTATATTTATTCTTCTCCGATCAATATTATATTATTTGTTTATAGTATGATAATATTCTTATACTAATGTGTTGCTATTTTATGACACAATGCAATTATTCATCTATTAATTTAATTTGATGGAGTCGTTTGATTTGATAGTATCGTAAAAAATTAGATTAATAATTTTTATATTAATATAGGATGATTACCATTGGTATTAAAAATATTAAATATAAATGATTAAATTTATTGAATTATTTTAAATAAGAACAAGTTTAATAAAATATATAAATTTAATGAATTAAAAACATTATTATCATATTATATCAAACGTCCATTTCATTCTTAACGATAAGATGAAATGCAAGTAATATTAATATAACCATGGTTTTCAGAACCGGATCAGTTAGCGAACCGGTCATGCTACCGGTTCACTGGTTCAACCGGTCGAATCGGTCTGACCGATCGAAAGAACCGGACGACGTCATAATTATTTAAAAAATTAAATAAAAATACCAAAAATATTTAATAAAAAATAATTTTGTATATCACAAGTCATATTCAAAGTAAGTCATAACATATATAAGTTAAAAACCATAAAATCAAGTGAAACAAAATGATTTAAATTAACTACAACATAATATTTAAGGTAAAACATATTAAATAATAAATATAATTATAAACTATAATTAAAAATAA